GCCAAAAATTAGTATTAACAAAAATATTAAAATTCAAAGCCTAAGGCGATCAATGCTGTAAAGGGTATCGCAGTTCGGGTTACCCGTCCTGAAAAGGGTCTATAGTTAAGAACAAGTATTATATATATTATTTGGGACTGGCTGAGCCAATATTTGGTTAACTCCATCTGTCTTTACGCAGTTAAAAATATCATTTATATATATGTTCCATTTTTTTACAGTATTTATGTTCCATGATCCTTTGCTCGATCTCTTTATTTAAAGTTACTGATTCTTCAGCTTATTAACCAAAGAACCCCCGACTAGCATACTACCTAATCCACATCGTTTTTTTATATAGCTTTTCTTGAATTCACTTTGCCCAACCAGCCAAAAAGTTATCATTGCATTCCTCTGTTTAGAATGTTTCGTTCGTCAATGTTATATATTGCCACATAGATATTGGAATTGAAAATCCGGTGTTTTGAGTATGTCTCACAAAAATTTTCCCAAACAAATTACGGAATCAATTTTGTCGTGAACTCGGGAATCGAAGACTTCTTTACGGAAACCAATGCTTTGGATTGAATAATAGAGTTGTTACAAGAAAATGTATTTCTATTCTCCTAAAGTAAATTTCTGCACAAACTGGCCTTTTTTAGAGTATAAAAGAAGTTAATAACGAATTTTCACGTCCAATTCTCTCAAAAATTGTAAATTAGTTTTTAATTGGAGCAGATTTTCGTTTTTCACGCTACAGCGAGCAAATACTGCTTTTGTGGATATTTATTCATGTTATTTTCATAATTTTATATGTTTACTTATCGTGTAATATGGAATTAAACATGAATTTAACCGTTTCGTGCCTTTGAGGAAGAAACATTTGGTTAGTTTCGAAGCGAAGTGTTGCATTTTGACGCTTGAAAGCATTGCATTAAAACCACAAAAAGGTATTTAATGGGATGAATAAGATTTAATTTATAAAATATGTTATTCAAATAGAGGTCATAAGTACAATTTGAACAATATATTTACGAGATTTGTTTTGTCTGTAAAATACGAGTGGACAAACAAGAGTATGCCAATTCATTCTGAATTTATGCGTCTCAAAGTATATGTTTTCATGGATTTGGACTAGAAGCGAAAAATTGTTATGATTCCAGTTGAATGATTATACGAGTGCAGGATTGTCCAACTTGCAAGGCCTTACAGACCTCAACTCAAACCTTGAATATGGTTGCGGGCCATAGTTTCATTACTCCTACGATCCACACCTGCCAACTCCCGATCTCGGCACTTTGCCCGGCTACTCTGAAACGAGGGATGGAAGCACGCGATATATCAGGACGTTCCCTGCATAACGCAGTGAAACATATTGTGACGATTAGGAATTTCTGGATTTACTAGAAAAAATATCCTTAAATATAAACTTAACCTCTTTTACTTTCTCATTTCGGAGTAGAGAGAAAATGACGTAATGCTGCGCAAAAAATGGTGCATTTTCGGCAGAAAAGCTCTTTATTACAGGGCCCTGGTAACGACAAATGAATAAATTCAGTTGCTAAATATAGGGAGACAATCCTCTATCTCCTGGTGTAGTCAGAATGCAAGTTTTGTGAGCCCTTCATATGGAAAAATTGAACGTCTGTCCATCTGTCTGTCCGCTCTGAAGAACGCTAGCGGCTAAACCGTTCAGTCGCTTTTCTTCAAAATTGATATTCCGCAATCGATCTAGCTGATGTCGCGGCCCCTTGAATTTGAAACCGATATTTTTAATTTTAGGGTTTTTTACATGATGCTTCTGGGACATTTTCCAAATTTTCTGAAATATCACTCATAGTTTTTTATTAAGTTGTGTTGTTGGATAGTGTGAAGAATATTTAAGAGAGTGGTGCAGGTCTCATGTTCGTTGAGACCATTTTAAATTTTCAAAAGTTTGAATTTTTTTCGGCATCTTCCTACTACTAAAATATAAAAGATAGATTTTTACCTTCATGAAATCTGTTCCTTACAGATTGATTTTTGAAGTAAGGCAAAGTACAATTTTTCGAAAATTTGAGTACTTTTCAGGTAATTTTGCGTGAAAATGCTGGCGAGGACGTACGTGCTGCAGCCCCAATAGTTTTCACTAAAGAGAAAGATTACCCCGACGGGGCGGGGGCGCTAGGCGCACAATGTCTTCGCCCGAAAGGGACATTTGAATAATAAGCTTTCGCGACCCGTCAGTTGGACAGCCCTGTCCTAGTGGAAAGTGCTGTGTCACTTAATTTGGCATAAATATAAATATCGTTGTTCTTAGTTTTCTTCTTCTACCTTTCCCAGAGATAACTTTCAGAGAGTTGCAAATTCGCCGTTCCTTTGCCAATCTTGAAACACTTAGATATTTTGTCTAATTTATTATATTGAATTTCTTGTTTAACAGACTTACATGCTGTCATTTTATATAGTATTCTCTCAACATATTCTTCACTGTTATTTTGTTACTTTTCAAAGTCAAATAAGTTACTTATCCTCTCCTTCCCCTCTCCAATTGTTGTGTCACTAGGCTATCGGTTACGTCATACCACTTCCTTTTCATTAAAAAATAGTGATATGTTTTCGACGACAATTTTAATATTAACATTGCCAAAAATAACCCCGAAAGCACACACCAAGACTTCTCTCATACTATGTGCAACTATGACCCCATACAATAATCACCAAACAGTTATCAAACTAGGTACCAATTTCATTAATTATTCCAGTAAAAATGGTGCGAATATCCGATACACTAAAAATCATATACTCGTATTTCTTACCTTATATTTGCTACACTGAGTGCAGAGAGCGCAAATGGGCGTCTTCAATGTATGAAAAAACATATGTGAAAATGCAGAAAAATGATCGTTGTTATTTGAAACGGTGATATTCTTCCTCTCCAAATTTCAGAGCGGAGTACATTGCGTTCCTCTCCTTTAAAGAAACTCCGCGTGGACCGGACACTCCTCTTGTTTATGGAGCGCCCCCACACAAAAACGCGCAGATCACACACGCCACGCGCAAGGCGGCCCCACACACAAGCGTCTCACTCCACCACAGCCCCCCTCGCCACACTCGGCCGGGTCGGCTCGTTTCGCTCTTTCTCGCCCTGCAACACCCTACTCCACCCCACGGAGTCCATCCCCGGAGCGGTCTCGTTCCATATTGCTTCGCCCCGCCCCGCCCCCCTGGTGGCTTTGTCTCGCCTCACTTTTCCCTTCTGCCTTTTGTTCCGCCCCGTCAGTTCTTGTCCGTCACTTCCATATCGTGTCTCATCCTCTCAGTTCCATCTCATCCCTCTCGATTTCATCACATCCTTCCCCGCCCTTCACCACATCGCCTCACCCCGCCTCATCCCGCGTCGCCTCACCTCGGTTAATCTCGCACCTCATCCCGCCCTTTCCCATTTTGCTCCGATCCGCTTCACTCTACCCCGCACGCTTCATCCCGTTTGCTTCACTCCACCCCTCTACTAGTCTCGCCTCGCTTTCACTTCGCCAATCCTTGCTTCGTTCAATCTTCATCTGATTCTTTT